AAATTCTAGTAGTTCTTAATTTAGATAAGGAATCCCTTAAGCTATCCTAGGGATCTATTAAAAGGATTAGGAGAGTTAAGTTAAAGCTTCTCTTATCCTTCTATAATAGGGGTAGTAATAATATTAGCAGCAGCTTAAAGAGTATAGTTCTACTATTTAAGTTCCTAGGTACACTAGTTAGATAGGTATATAATAGCCTAAAGTTCTTTAGTAGTATAGGCGTTAGTATTAAATATTTCCTATATCTATTAAATATTATAGTTAGCTTATTTAAGCTATTCCTTAAGTATATTGTTATTATTACTATTACTATTATCTTTTATTCTCTAATCCCTAAGTTCTTAAGTAAGGTTCTTCTTAATGGGGGCCTTCCTAGCGCTAGAGAAGGATCCTATACTAGGGGTCTTTCTAGAGAGTTATAAAGATATTATAATACTATTAGTAGTTTTTAAAGGGTAACTTACTAAATAGGAGTAATTAAAGTATTACGGCTAGCTAACTAATAGTGGGTTTATATTAGTAGTAAATTAGGAATTAAGAACTATAAATAGTATTAAGTCGTTCTATAGGGCTATCTAAGTAATTATAGGTCTTTAAAGGTCTTAGTAATTAGTTAAGTCCTTAATAAGAGTTATAGAGTAATTATTACTTAGGTATAGCTAAAAGTCTTAAGTAAGAATTATAAGTTAATTACTAAAGAGCTATAGAAGTTTGTCCTTAAGTGGACTTAAGTCTATCCTATATATAGGTCCTGGGTAGTCCTATTGCTAGGTGCTGTATATGCCCTGTACGGCTCCCGTATCCTTGGTATATGGCTTCCGTCTTTCTGGAATATAGATGCCGTATCTTAATTATATAGATCTAATCTCTTATCTTATTGTCATGTAACCTATACTATAGTTCTTCCGTTCCTAAGGGATCCTTATGTGTTCCCATAATTCTATATATAAATATGTTATTATAACCGCCTAGTATCCTAGTAGGGCGTCCTTTATTGGTTATGCCTAATAGGTCGTAACACTAAAGTCTCTTATAGAGTACTTCAATTAGTAGTATTATAAGCCTATTGAGGTCTTCCCCTCTAGCTAGCAGGCCGGCATACTGCCTGTTGATCCCGGGGCTGGGGATGGAGAGGATGTGCACTACTGGCAGTGGGTCAACAGCCGGCGCCGGCAGACGCCGCCCAGGACGGATGAGCTTAATCTCTACCTTCATCAGCCTCTAGAGGCTACATCTAATCCCGTCCGGTGGTGGAGGGACTATGTGGAGACGTTCCCAGCACTCTCCTGGCTTGCCCTCAACGTCTTTATAGTGCTAGCGATGGCAACGGACTGCAAGAGGGCTTTTAGTACTACTAAATTAACCCTTACCTCTTAGAGGCTCTCAATACTGCCAGGCACTATAGAGACCATCCAGCTCAGCAAAAACTAGCTATAGAGAGGCGTCCTTTTGCCTATAAACTTTAGGTTATTATCACTATAAGGAATAGCCTTACTTTTTTCTAATTAGTTAGGATATTATATATATTTTTATATAGTAATTAAATTATATTAATTATAAGTTTACTAAGTAGTTAAATCCTAGAAAAAAAAAAGTCAATTTAGTAAGTATAGGGGTTGAAATTAACTTAATTATACTTACGGTAGCGCTATTAAGCATAAGAGAATGAAGCTTAAAGCACCTGCGGGGCTTGGGGAAACTTCTGTGTTGGGTGATAAAAAGCCCTAGCGATTAAGGTGAGGCTTTCCGGTTTGAACTCTATACAGAAGTAGGTAATTGCCAATTGACTTTACTCGCTTAGCATTGAATGCATCGGCGAAATGTTATGGTCGGTCGGTAAAGCTTCGACTAGCATCCTTACGTGTAGCTGTCATTGGTGTTTATGCCGTATGCGTGAGACCTACTACACATAGTAAGAGATCACGGGCTGCCTCGGACTTTCGAGAAGGATTTCGAATTTTGTCGAAGTTGGCTTTCTTGGCCTGAATCTTGAGAGCTAGTCCATTCTCATATGGTATTCAAAGCCACAAACCTCTGGAAAGCACCTGGCCTTCCTCGCGTGACGCCTGGCTATATGCGTAACTACATGTGCGGTTTTGGTCTTCTTGGGATCTTTCTGCAAAGGGACAGTACGATTTTCTCATTCCAACCCTTCCCCATTCCGATGATAATTGTCTGTACTTGAGGAGTCTTGAGTCTAGACGTAAATCTTCCTAGTTCGCCCTGACTCGAGGTCAGTTATTTGAATTCATGAATTAGTACACCTAGAGGATGGAGTCGCTGGGGGGGTTCGCCAATTGGTGACGCCTCCAACCTTTCGTGAGGCTTCACTTGCAGACATTTGGCTTCAACTCTCTATGCTTCTCCATCGTTGGTGGCTCTTTCGTTCGCTCAAATAATATGCAGGCAGAGATCTTTATTCCTTGCTTCAAACCACAGGCAGCTTTTACAAAACCCAGGATATCGGAGTTATATATATATTTGAATCTCTGTGGAATATATGAGGTCTAATCCAAGTAATAGGACTGTTAGTCTGTTCCGTCAAGGTGAAAGTCATTCTATCTATAGAAGAAAACAAAACCATAGCCGCCGAGGACCTTATTGACAGCGTTGCCCTGGCCTTGATCCTCTCACTTACTACTGGGTCGCATTGGTTATTCCAAAGGGGTTAGGGGTCCTGGAAATAAATACATTATCCTCTGCTTTTGTTTCGCCCTGAATAACGGGTTCACCCATGTTCGAAAAATCCAGTTGATGTACTTTTGTCATATGTCGCTTCCAGTTATTCCTTCGCGGGAATGACTTTCCTCCGTCCTTTGAGTAAGGACAAGTTTCAACGCTGCAGTGAAAGTTCTTCGATTTCAGATGCTTGACTTTGATGTGACGGTTGAGGTGAGTTTTGGTTCCAAATCTTTCCCCACAGGCAGGATGCTGACATTCATAGGGCCTTTCATGAAAACGTTTGTGGTGGCTGTAGCGTAGTCAGCATTTTGTAGCAATCTCAGGGGTATGAAGAACGTACTTGAGCTTGTGGACTTGATCAAACGACACTCCGCACTCGTCACACTGGAAGATGAACGGCGTCAGCCTCTGGACCGAAGGCGATTCGGCTGAATCGACTTCGACTTCTTCACCCTGCCTATGCATTCTGGAAGCGGGAGGCTCCTCGGCTCTCAAGCCGGACCCCGTCTTGCTGGACAGCAGCGACTTAACCCGATTCATAGCCCGCTGTCGATCCAAGGGCCTCGGCTTGCAGTCAGCACACCAGTGCTCAAAGTCTTCTCTGAGAGCCTCCTCACGGGCGTCGGGATAGAAGCATTCGATATGCTGCCACGTGTCGCATTTGTCGCAATAAATGGTATTTCCATCGTCATCGGTGAAATCGCAGATACATTTGATGATGTAAGGTTCTTCTTGCGTTGGTTCAATCATAGTCACACGTAGAATCCCGCAGTCACGCTTGTGGGACCTGATATTACGACGTCAGCAGTGGCATGGAAACCTCGGCGGGCGGGAAAGACATACAGCAGATCATTTGTTTGATCATACGACCGGCCACACCCCTCACAATTGTATACGATAGATGGAAAGTGCTGCATTGATGGCAGCTCAACCTCAGGTAAGGGCTTGATGCCAGGCGCTGGCTGCAAACGAGTTGGTGCGTCCTTGGTATTTCTGGTAGTAGATTCCGCCAGGTACGTCAAGTTACCAAGCTGTGATTGAATGGACGCCAACGGTTCTTCAGTCTTCGGGGTATAGTCCTTTGTTTTCTCATCCACGAAGAGGTCTTCTCCGCCACGTGGGTGACCAACAGTTTCCAGGCCGTTATGTGCATTAAAACCTGGGTAATAAGGAAGTGGGGCATCAGATTCTATGTCTTGTTGGCCGAGTTGATAGCCAGACTCTGAGTGTAGGCCGGTTTGTTGGGGTTGTGTTTCTGCTGTTTCCGAGGGGCTCCGGTTCACATGCTCTTCAATGGCGTGATCTGGTTCTGGCAAACTCTCGCTTCGGGAACCCTTGGAAATAGTGCTGGCGGAATAGCTCTCACTGTCACAGTCTGATTCAACGCCGGCTGGGAGAGACGACAAAGAGATTTCCTCGAAGTGGCTCGACAGATGCTTGAGAATTCGGACCTTGCCGTGGCCCGTTGAGTCCAAGCATAGAGGACACTCAATAGAATGCCACTGGCCGGCGAGTTCATGTTCCAGCGCAAGATGTTGGATCCAATCTTCTCGGGATTCGAAAGGCTCAGTACCGTACCGGCAAGAAACATCGTGGCAGATCCAGGGTTTGAGATCGTTAAACAAATGCTTCCTAGAATCGATGAGTAAAACGCGCCAAAGGCTCATCCATTTGGATTGACTCACTTCCACAACGAGTTATTCGCTATCTTTACCTGTTTTCCGCATGCCAGACATTCAAATGGCTTCCCTCTTTTGGCTTCGGGCGTCAGAGGCGGGATCTTGATCGAGTGGTCGATGCTCTCCTGCCTGTACGACATGGTCGTTTCCGCGTATGCACTTCCAGTGGCTAGCGATGTTCCAAGACCTGAATCGTGGAAGGACGAACCCTTTTCAGTTGCAGGGACAGCATCGTTCTCAAACGCGACTCCCTCTTCCATCTCGATGCCCGTCTTCCGACTCTCTGAGATGTTCTTTTCCTTGTCCGACTGAATTCTCTGGAAGCGGCTCCAGTTGGCCTCAGCGAGACGTTGGACTAGTTCAAGCCGAGCACCCGGGAAACGGTGGCCAATGCGGTCAGAATACAGTCGAAAGGGGGTCCACGATTTTGGCTCGTCCGCTTGAAACTCGATTCTCTTTGCCTTGCGAGCATCCACGAAAGGGCATTTGATGACTGAGTCGAGATCGATCAAACATTCGATGTCGGTCCGCATGCTGTCGGCAATCTCTTTCCAGTCATTTGACTCGGACACTGAAGAAGCATCGCTATCACTTCCTTCGCTGTCAGAGCTCTCACAGTCGTCCGAGAAGACTGTCTTTGCCTCCCAAATTAAAGATTTAAGATGGCCCGTTCGGTCGTCGTTGTCTTCCTTCGGAGGATCAAGTAGGGGCATCATTTCTAAGTCATCTGTCAGTCTGGCGGTTGCAGACTTTCCCAAAAGTTGAAGACACCAACTATCAGAGAGCGTTTCCGCAACGCTTATGAGAAGCTCTAGAACGGATTTCCGCAGCGACTTTGATTTTCCCAAGCCATCATCCAAATTACCGTCCATGATGCCATGTCCATCAACCCACAAGATGAAGGAGCTTCCACTCCTCTCGAGGCTTCGAAATGCGAGCTCGGGGACATCATGTCTGCGTTTTGCTTCTCGTAAGGCAACTTTAGTGGCGGCGACGCATCCTCCGCAGAGACGGCTGATGAGACTCTCCGCCGCTTCAGGTGCTTCTTCGGCAATCCAGTCGCGTATTCGTGCCGCGTCGTAGTTTGCAGCCCCACGTTGTTGTGCCATCTTTCCAGGACGATTTCGGGCGTTATGTTGGAAGACTCATATCATAGTATTTTCGTCCAGAAATCTCCACGTCGAGGATACGGATGTGACCGAAGATGAAGATGGTCGACAAAGCGAACAGCCGAGAAAATCGCCTCGGCGCCTAAAAGCTGACAGGTACATGCAATGTTGAGTGGGCTGTGCCGCATCTCAACCCCTGCATTTCTCTCAACTGTCTCTCTCTCATTCGCGGGGTTTCAATACCAGCCCCAACACAGCCTGTTCTCCCGACCATTGGAGGGTGCCTTCAATGTCAGCTGAGCAGGCTGCACATCTGCGAGGCCAGGCCAGCTCTGACTATGTGTTGAGCTGCCGAGTTTTCAACCCTCAGTTTCCACATCGTCTTCTGCTGTCGTTACCGACATCGCAGTTCGAACAGTATGGCAGAGCTAGCGCTAGGAATCGTAGGTGTCGTGCCCTTGATTGGCGGCGCGATGAAGGCATACAAAGAGGTCAATGGGAAACTGAAGCTCTTCCGCCACAGTTCGAGAGAAGTCAAGAAGGTTCACAAGGTCCTCAGAATCCAGCGCCAGGTCTTCGCCAACGAATGCGGCCTATGGCTCAGACTCATTATGGACGATGACGAGGTAGCCTCTGAGATGGCATCCGATCCTTCCCATGACGGGTGGAATGATCCATATCTCGACAACTCTTTCCGATCTCGATTGAAGAAGAATTACGATGCGTGGTTTGAAATCACCAAGGATATCTCCGACAATATCGAGATCCTTGAAACTCAGATATCGAGTTACGAAGCGTCTCCTGAGACGAAGAACAAGGTACGGCGTGGCAGTCTACCAGACGGATGTCTACAACTAACGGCGTTATCGGCAGGGTGGGAAGTTGAAGAAGGTTCTCATGCGAACAAAAGACGGTATCAAAGTCGCATTCAACGCCAGCGACTTCGAAGATACTATCGAAAAGCTTCGGCTGTCCAACAATGAACTAAAGGGACTGCGCGAGCAGATCGGGGAGCTTCACAAACCGAAGTCTCAGTCGTCCAACCAGGCCAGATGCTCGAAAAGGGGAGACTGGGCAACTCTCATCAGAATACGTCGCGCATCAAAGGCTCTGCACGAGGCTCTCATCCGAGCTTGGAACTGTGGTCAACCAGGCCATCTTGGCCATGTAGTCAAACTGTTCGTCGAGACGCACAGGGTGGAAGGGGATATCCAGATGAACCTAGCCATCGTTTGTCGGAATCACACCGAAGATCTGATTCAGTCAAAGTTGGTTCAGCTCGAAGTTCGCTCGCAAAATCTAGAATGGATCGAACAGCCAAGGATACATGGACAACTCCCATCTCCAGACGATGGTCGCTCCGAGTCTCGCAAACGACTAAAGGTGGTGAGGTTCGCGGAGACAACAGTGCAAACCCTCATCCAGGAACCGCACACGTCAACGACGATCACTTCAGAACAGGACGGGGCTTGTGGTTCTTGCGACCTCGGATCATCCAAGGATATCTGTAAAGAGTTGACTCGACAGCTCAACGCAAGTTGCCTCGGCCACATTGACGTTCGGTCAGACGAAGCCTTCCGACATTCATTCTACCCAGCCAGAGACGATCTTTGCCGTAGATCTCTCCCGCCTTCACCATCCGAGGACAGGGCAATCACAATGGACGAAGTTCTGGACGAGTCATCCAGGGACTTCTTCTCAACAGTAGATCGGCTCAAGCTCGCCCGTACCCTGGTATCTGCGGTACTTAAGTTTCACTCCACGCCATGGCTCAGTGATTTCTGGAGATTGAGAGATCTCGCCTTCTTCAGATCTACCCAGGGAGAAGAAATGTCCGAGGCCATTCGTACCTTACACGTGGGCGTGGAGGTTGCGCAGCGACAGCTCGACTCGATGGAAGATATTCAGAGTTCTGCCGATTGTCCGATTTCCCAGGTCACCGAAGACGAGAGACTCTTTTGCGGTATCGACAACCTTACCCTGCACAGTCTTGGTGTTGCGTTGCTCCAGATAGATAGATGGACCAGAGTCGAGCCAGGCGATGTCTTGAAGGTACGCAAGATGGCGTTGAGGTCGTCGTCGCTGGGGGCTCGGTATCAGGAGATCACACAGAAATGCCTGAGATGCGACTTTGGGTATGGTTCGGACCTTACGAAGCCGCGCCTGCAAGAGGCGGTGTACGAAAATGTGATTGGTTCTTTAGAGACGATGATATCCAGCTTAGATTTGACGGAGGATTAGTTATGTTTAGTCAAAGATCTTCAGCATCCCATTGGTATTCCAGATTCTTGGCTCTGTATTTATCAGGGGACTCTTCTTCCGGAAATCCACAACCAGTCATGACGGTTCGAGCTATTCCATCGGCTTGCAGCAATTTTGTGGCGAACCGAGTCTAGAGCAAGGCTCATCAGGGATAGTATCAATATAGCCGTGATAACGTACATCGGCCGTACCATGGTTCTATCATCCACGATCTCGGCTACAGAGGGTTTATGTCTTACTTGTCCGGTTGCCGGGTAATTCATCACGGGTATATAGTGTTGCCCAACTTACCCCCGCCTCTTTGGAACTTCTTATTCAAGCCATATTACATTGATTTAGTGGGAGACGTCGTGTCTCAATAAACTGTCCCGTAGTAGAAAAGCTTCAGCGGCAAAGATGAGAGGTAAGTGGTGTCGCTAGTTCATGATGCACAGCTGCAATAAGCATTTAATGCTCTGATTCCCTGGGTTCTTCTCGAAAAACGGTCATCTTCCAGTACATGCTTGATTATGAGATCTGGCTGAGCCCAGCGCTTTCCCGATGCTCGCTCATAAGCTGGCCCTGCTCGGCTTTGCTGCCTTGAGCATCGCCGCTCCTCAGTTCGGGATAGGGGAAGGCTCGGTCATCCTCATCCCTGGTGGTAACTCTCCGACCATTCCTCCCGTCATTAGGCCGGGCAGGCGTCATGTATGCTTTCAGCCCAAATCCCTGTTCTCAACTGTTGGATTTATGCGAGTCCGGCTAACATTATGGGTGTCTAGACCGATGCTACTTTGACCAAACGGGATGATGACCTCGACGCCCTCAAGGACACATATCTCGCCCTTCTTGAGCCTTACACCAGTGACAACAAGCCTTCGGTTGGGACTTATATGATCCTACTCCACTTGGCCGATATCCTCGCCAGCAAAGGCATCAATGTCGACACTCTTGCTCTCGGAGAGGCCTCAGTCACCTTCGGTCCGTCTACCAAACGTCAAATCTTCGAGATCGGAGGTTGCAAGGAGTCGGATGTCATCGGTCTTCGCGCGACCTTGACCAGCCTGCTCCTCATCTACGGCAACAAACCTCCTTTTGAGATATGGAATCTTGAGCAAGCCATCATCGCCGCTCTCAAGGCCTGCAACGAAGACGTCATCGGCGGCCCCATCATCCCCGATCAACCAATTCCAGGTGGGCCAATGATCCCCGACAAGCCCGTGCCTGGCGGCCCAATTATCCCGGACGAACCGGTCCCGGGTGGGCCAATCGCTACGCAGTCTCCCGTCCCCGGAGGTCCGATGAAGCCCAGTGACTAAGGTTGTCAACCCTCGCCCTTCGGCCCAGTTCTGGACCGGGTCCGACTTGTACACAAGGGGGCTCTCTCGCCATGTAGGGCACCATCGGAGAGACACTTTGGGAAACACTTGGGACTGGGTCAGAGTTGGCGCGCATGAATAGTATGGAAAAGGTCGGATCAGGGGTAGGAGATGGATGGAAAAGACAATGATGGTTTCGCTGGATTTTGGCACGACTCTCCACGACATTTGACTTTCCCATGTTTGTTGTCTCGTTTTCTGCTTACTACCTTCTCATTCAAAAAGGCTTGATTGACTTAAGCTCGTGGTTTCCAGACTCTACGTGAAAACCGTTTCATGTCTGCTGAGAGATGGTCGTCAAAGCGTCACAGCCCTATATTCGTCGTGAACTAACATTCATCGAAGCTTCGTGTTCCTGTCTCTGACAGCTTGCAACCCTAAGCCATCAGGACCGAACTGCGAGACAGAAACAGCAACGGAAGGTCGTAATCAAGCCTTTCTTTTTAAAGTCGTCTGGTGTTGCTTCGTCTTGAAGTTGGGCTTACTATCTCGTCTCAAGGCTGGGTGGTGAGGTTGTAGTATGAGAATCATCTCAAGGCCTCCGGATAGAGTCGCACATTGAAACGAGTATCAGCTATGATCACCACCGTCGCAGAGAGACCGAAACTCCCGGTCAGCCTCGCGATGAATTCTCTTGTCCAGACCAACAATATGTCAGCGCCAAGAGCTGCGATGACGGGTGTTTCTGCCCACATCAGCCTTCTCCCGCAACTCAAATAGCGCGACACGCAGAGATTATTACTGCTTTCGCGCGATCCGAGGTCCGGTTCTAGAAGAGACGCATAGTAACTCAAATCTCGCTCGGACAGGCTGTCATCGTTTCGACATCACGGAAGCTATCGTAGGGCAGCAAAACTCAACTCTAATGGCGGGTTTTCGCCCCTGGTCCTAAAATCCTTCTCTCCTTCAACTGAAGTTATAGGCACGAGGGCATTCCCACCGGCGAGGCCCTTGTCGTCGACTTTCCTCGTCCCTGATGGCTGACAAACTCAAAGGGTTCCATTGCGGGCGGGAAGCTAGAGTCCTTCGCGGTCATGTTTCACTTGAAACTCCCGACCGAACTCCGGCCAGTCTGCCGACGAGCACGGAGCACCCAGTCCGGCCGTAAGCCTTCTCTCGAGGTATGGAGATCCCAAGAACCACTCCGGCGCCCAAAAGCTTGCGGCGTCCCGTCCGGCCGCAATAAGTGGGAAGATGAGCGGAGGGTATGCTTGGGTAAGGTGGCATTCTGATTTCTGTCCAAGGATTTCCGAAAACGATGCTTCATCCCTCGTCCCTACCCCAAACCAGACAGCGCAACTCACAAGACCAGAAAAGGCTAACCTTCATCCGCTCTGCTGCCACTCTTGACAAAGGCGTCTGCGAGCCCATGGCTTTCCCTGCAAACGGATGCGGCGGGAAAGCCACGAGACAACCACCACCGCCAAAATAAGTTTCTCTTGGCCGTTCTCTCTTTCGCCCGTCGGCTTTAACGAGGACCCGGGAAGCTCTCACGAACTGGCTAAACACCGAGTCATTCTCTCATTCAAACAAGTTCCCATCAACCATCACGATCTGCCCATCACGATCCCGTTTCCCCGCAAAACCTTCAGCCCAACCCGTCCACGGCCCTGACACCTTCCAGCCGGGCGATTTTCTGCCCTCGGCCGGCGTTCATGGGACCACACGACTTGACTGCATCGCGGCCTGTTCGCCCTCGGTGCCGCTAAGAGCGCGCACTCTTTCGTTCAAGCACCAGCCAAGCCAACGGAACCATCGTGAACATCCCCATCCCAGGAACGTGGCGAACCCAAACCAAGCCAAACCAACAACCAACAAGCCCGCAACCCACGCAACCCACGTAGTCCACGCAAGAAGCAAGATTGAACCTACACATCCACACAAATCTACACTTACCCACTCGAAGCCAAACTCGTTTCTGCATCAAGGTGCATCAAGACCGCAACGTCGGCGCCTTCCGCGAACGAACGCGTGCCCGCAATCTTTTTTGCATCCATCTACAACTTATTTTGTCTTTTCCATCCCATCACATCCCGTCCACGCCGCCCTCTTAGAGTTTTGGATACCTTCACTCCTCGCCGATACGACCACACCAAGAAGGCGTGAGCGTAGGAAAGGGCGTCAAACGACGAGACGAGTCATGCTGGCCCAAACTCTGGCGAGTCTAGCAAATCTTCTTTTTCAGTCTACTCCATAGTATCAGCGGCGTGGCCCAGAGGACAGAAAAATCAGGGACCTTGTCAGACTTTCCCGGTGACCGTGATGGTTCCTGGAAGTCAATCACGGCCTTTTTTCGTGCCACAACAATTGGCGGGAATTTGTGGCAGATGAGATGTGTCGTTTCCCATCTCGCTCAAGCTGAACTCGACGCGCCGTGCGCGGGTCGAAGAGAATCCTTCACAGCCAACGCCTCTGGTGTATCAATTGCTATGAGTCAAATATGCTCTCAGACGCGGTTGAGCGCCGCGGTAGTCGGTCGCCTCTGGCGTCATGGTATGGAGATTATCCCGTCCGAGCAAAACCTCGCGGTGTACTCACCGAGAAGAAGAAGACCCCCCCTTTCCATGTTCACAGTTTAACCTCACAGGACATATCGAACATGGGGGCATAGGGGTCCTCTCAGCCACGATCCAAGCGGATGGGATTCAAGTCGTCATACGCCTGTCTGCCGTTCATCTAGCCAGACATTCTCAAGGTCCATCCCAGACCGCGGGAGCAAATGCACAGCTCAGTTCGTGATCCCGGACACATGCTCCGGCTAACTGTCGCATCATGATGAGATGGTGTGCCAAAACGATGCCCGCCTCACAATGGGACCGGACGGCACATCACTTCTCTCTCTCGTCGATCATAAGCAACGCGTGCCCCTACCCTTATGTCGTTTGGGAGGAAAAAGGGCCATCCCATGCTGCCCTCTAACCTTTTGGCAAGCTTCCAAATTCCATCAGGCTCCTTCCCCGTTCCCTCGTGACCCCGTGCTTCCTTTCTGTCCTCTCGCCTCCGCTCCCGTGAAACCCCCTTCGACGGCTTACTACGCAGAATGACGCCTATCAAAACAGCATCATCTCTTGGCGGCCGCGTCCTCGAGCCACAGAGCCGCCGCCACGAGCGAACGCCAGTGCGCTCCGCGTCTCGTAATGGGCCAGGGTCCAGAGTCCAGACCCAAGAGACAAGAACCCGAACAAACCCGCAAACGGTCATACAAACGAACCACGGACCCGTGATATCGGGACGAGAAGGCGCAAGCCACTTGCATAATGCTGTTTGCTGCGTAATACACTACTTCTCCGTAGATCGAATCGGTCGTCCATCGAGCTCCACATGTCTCCGGCGGCGTGCGGCGCGGCGGCCTCGGGAGAGGATGGAGGAGGATGGGGAGCTTGACGCCGTCCCATCCACAGCCCTCCGGGGTCCCTGTTCCGAACACTTGTTTTACTCATCAGCCCGGCGCGGAAAAGTATTTGATAGAGGAGGGCTGAACGCATGGATCGCTTGACGCCCGTCAAACAAATTCACACTTGGCTCCCGGCCCCTTTCCCAATAGACGTATGGCGCGTCTTACAGATGGGAGGGCATAGACATACACCCCGCGCCAGCGCCAGCGCTAGCTAGCTCAGCCATGGCATACGAATCTCTGGGAGCCGTGGAAACAGGCTAATGAGCTGAGGGCGCACGTATTGGGAGAAAAGACGATACCGTGCGCCGCGCCGCGTCTCGCCTAGGGACATTAGACCGGTGAGCGGCTCGATAGAGGGACGACCTATCGGGAGTTTTTCACGGGATGGAGCCAGGAAGTTCAAGGCTGCGGTAGCGTGGGCACGGATATGAGACTATTGAACGATGGCTACTATGTAACCGACGCGGAAGGGGAAAATATTTCCTATGCTATGGTGTAAAGGGGGTTAGTCAGGGTTAGTCACTCTCGTCCAACACGGGCCGCCGTGATCTTTCCTGTGATGGGCCCGTCTTCGTCAAAGATTGAGGAACGTGCGATGGGATCGGTAAGTCTTTTCTCACGAGATGACCAACCCATGCCAGCCGCAGCCGTGTCTTGGGAGCTAGTTCAACCGTGCCGGGCTTGGCGCGAAGCGTCAAAGTTGATTGCATAATGTCAACACGTAGTTTCAACACGTCAAGCCACTGCTCGGACCCGGGGTGATCTCTCTCTCTCTCTCCAGCCACGAACTTGCGATCATCATGGCGGCGGAGAGGCTTGTGTGTTTGCGGCTTTGCTGGCGTTCGTTATGCTGTCTTGCACTGCACACATCTTTTCATCACTGCCGAACTCTCGGACTCGCTCGTTCTCGATTGTCATTGGCCACACGCCCTCGTGTGAGCTACGCACGGGAATGGCTGAGGAGATGGGCGGCGGCGGCGGACGGGATCGTTGATCTCATAGCGTCGACGAGGACATCAGACGGCGGCTGTCAGAGGGGGCGGTGCATTGAGTTGGGACCAGGGCGAGGTTCGGGTGCATTGCGGGCCTTGTGAGGCAGCGGACGTCAGAAGGATCTTGGACTTGCGTCAGTAGGAACGTCAGTATTGAACGTGCTTTGCCATTTCTCTGAAGATTCTTGATTACGTTGATAGGCGTCGATACATGAGATACGACCTTGTACTGTGTATGGAGGGCTTGTTTGACAGAGTTCATGCCAGCTGCATAGTCGAGAGTCAAGTGGCGACATCGTGGCTTGCTTTACTTGATTTACCCTGCCCGAGCGATGATAGGACGAATTTCGCGGTCTATTTCCCGAGAGGGCAAGTCTTGTTGGTTCCGAGGAGGCGTTGTTGGTTGGGAATACACAGCACTTCGGCAATCTCCAACCGTTCAACCTTCCACGCTCGCATGTCCGATCGAAAGATCCCCTCACCTGCAACAAGAGGCTTCTTTTCGAGACATGCCTAACCCTGAGGATCTGTGGTCTCTCAATGGCGGGTCG